TTAGAACGAGCCTCACTCCCCAAAAGGTCTTTTGAACTCCAGCATGCGGAATATCTCACCCTAGCTAGACTGGTAGCCCTAGAACTGGCCCACAAAAAAGTAATTCTCCAAAAAGGCAAATGGTCAGTACTAAGTCAACTTAATCAGGGCAGAGAGGTAAAGGGCAGTGAAACAATAAAATAATTTCCCCTAATGGTATGACAAATATTCTTCTTAGCAAATCTTGTTGGCTCAAGAGGAAGTTTTGTTTTTAATTTTATAGAGAACTTGTGGCCTATGACTTTGTCTTCAAGTGATAAAAGTTAATTTAGTTTTTTGTTAAGATGTCCTATTAAAAAAAGCTTGGTTTGGGAGAAGGTTGAAATGATTTGCTAAGATGAGGTTTTGGCATAACTGGTGAATTTCCATTTTCCATGTTACCCCTGTAATCACTGTAGAATGTATAGAGGTGGCTATAAAAATATGAAGCTGTGGCTTCAAAGGCCACCTCTGATGCCTAGTACCTACATGACCTTGGGCAAATCACAACCTCCACATACACTGAATTCCTCATTTTTAAAATGAAGGGGTGGGACTAGAGGGCCTGTTCTTTCAAGTTTTAGATCTACAATCCTATAATCTCTTTAGGCCTATGGCTAAAAAAGGTTTTCCTGTTATTGTTTACAATCCAGTTGCTATGGTTTTCATGTTCTAAAATATTTTCCTTCAACACTCAGATTCAAACAAAACACACCCATCTGCTGATGAGAGTTTAGGTCTTAGAGGTGGGGCATAGAATTAAAGGACCTTCCCAAGATCTCTTCAATTCTAATTACTCTATGATATACTGTATATACATGCTCCTATGCTGATATGACTTGTCAAATTATGTTTAAACTGATAATATATAAACTATTTATTTTAATAAGTTTTTTTCCCCTTTCTTGTTTAAAGGGGCATTTGAGAATAAGAAAATTTGCATTTCATCTTCAGTGGAAGGAAAATTACATTATAACACACCGTTTTGGTATGGTGGCGGGGTGGGGGGATTTGGGCACTGAAAATAAACAAAAATAATTTTAGTGGAACTGTAACTAGAAGTAATGCTTGTTTCATCTTGAATCAGCCCACTAGACTATGGTCACAACAGTTTAATTACTAAGAAAGGAAAACCCCTCTCCCATAACAAAAATGCAATGAAGGGGAGACCAGAGAGAACAGTATGAATGCCAAAAGGAGTGTTGTTAGGATATGCAAGCACTAGAGTTTTAAAGATAAGGGTGTGTGTGTGCACGCGTGCCTGTGTGCATTTTGTGTTGGGGGCAAGAAGGAAGGATATAGTCTCACACGTCTCTGTGTGCGTGGACTTTATTTTACTGAGATCTTATTATCTTACCTCTTTTGTCCCATTTCTGACCTGGTTCCTTCATCTCTCCCCTTTCCCACCTTCCATGGGCAACTAATATTAATGCCCTGGCCATTTGCTTGGCCATCTTCCTGCCTTTAAAATTCATTTTACTTCAATCTCTAGCTTCTTCTATGGCACAGTTTGAAGGAATCAACCTAGGAGGAGCCTGCCACACAGAGAGGGACATTCCTGCCAAGGCACTGAGCACTATCTTTATGGAGATTAAAACAAATAGTTTTGAAATCCCCAAGGTAAGCAAATCAGCAATATTGGCAATTTATTGGAACCTTTTGTTTGTACAGGGGCCAGGGAAAGCCTCACATATCCTTATTTATTCCAACTACTTCCTGGATCTCAAAGCCCAAGGTATTTGCCATACTTCTATGCACTTTTAGCAACCAGTCACCACCCCCTTCTTCACTACCCTCTACCCCTCCTCTTCAGGGGTGACCCTCTCTGCCTACACTTGCAAGAGAGAAAGAGGCTAGAATTGTCAATATTGAATTTACGAGGGCCCTGGGTTAGAGTGACTGGATTAAATCTCCACCCAACCAGAACCCATCTATCCTGCTCAGCTTTTTTAACCTCCTCCAAACATTTGGTCAGCAGCTCTCCCTGCATTTCTTACTTATATCAGCAGATTTTTTCTCTCTCCAGAATCCCCTTTGCCATGTACTTTTGTCCCTCTCCCCTCCAAGTTTTACTCTACTCTTTCCCGGTCTATGTTTGGATTTATTTTAATTCCATCCTTCACACTTTCTCCATTATTCTTGGTTCATCTCCACCACATAAATTATCACCTTTTTTTCAGTTCCCCCTGTGCCCCATTCACACCAAATCCAAATAAATACTTTGCATTCCCATCCATTTAGCCTGAATTAATTCTCTTTGCTCTCAGACACCTATCTTTCCCCCTAAAGATTTTTTCCCCTGAGGAAGGTTTCACAAGCAAACTGTTTCTCCAGGACACAAGGTGATAACTTTCTCTTTTCTTCAGAGGATAAAGCCATCAGTATCATTGAAGACCACTAAACTTCAATGGACCATTAATAGATAGCAAAACACATTCTATTGATCAGTGATCACTCATCATTCATTTTCATTGGCCAGTCTAACTTGTGCCACCATCTCCCATTCACTTCTCAGGGGAAAAGTAGGATGTAATTGTAGGCGGGGGGGGGGGGGGGGGGCAGCAGGAAAGGGAAAACAGCTTCATTTGAGCAATCAGGATTTTACCTAGGTGTTGGCAAACTCCTCTGTTGCTAACTTACCATTCCATTGTGTGTCTACTCTGGGTTCCAAGAGGCACCTTTCAAGCATCAGTAATCACTGACCAATCCTTGGTTTACAATGAACCAAGTTGCAAATATGGGGAAAAGTTCTGTAACTCAGCCTCCCCCGGTGAGATGTGGCTCCCAATCCAAAGTTTCAAGGTGGGTAAGTAAATTCTGAACCTCTGGACTATGTGTTCGTTTGTTTAAGATCAATGATAGGTAAGGAAAAGATTTTTGCTTTCCAAAGTTTTCTTGCTCACATGACCCCTCCAGGACTATCACTCATAGCAATTAAATTTTACTGGAGCTAGGTCCGTAATCTGTACATATATGGGAATTACCTATGCCCTTTTCCAAATTACTCCTCCAAATTTTCCTCCTTTCTTCTTCAAGTCACTGAAGAAGCAAGATGACATAGCTTAGGAATCCAAGTTGGCTAACAATTCAATGTCTCCTCAATATTTTAATCATTGACTCTAAAGACTGAAAATCAAAAAAGCAAAACCATAAACCCACTTTTAAGGATAAAGTTGCTATAAGAACAAGAAATATCTCAGAATAGCGAGAGAAAGAGAATCAACAGAGATAGTTTTGGCCCAGACAGAAGAAAGTTCAGATCTGAGATCTAGCGACTAAAACAACCACTCAATTGCAAAGCATGAAGGTCACTATTCCGATGAGCCTACAGCATTATAAAAGCACGCCTCATGAGAAGACTTACACCAACCGTGAACCATATGGGAAATTAAGATTTTGATTTAGAGGGGCATATGTCCTAGTCCTTTGCTGGCAAAGGAACAATACCAAATGTGGCTCATCCCAATTCCCAGCCTCCTGTGATAAAGATTTAGAGGTCAAACATTATGGCTGCATCTTGCTATGTATTATGCCCTACCTTACTCTTTAGAAGCTATTTAAAATATGTCATACTCTCTCCTGCCTAAAAACTTTGAAAGAGACCAATTTCAAATGAAAGGTCAATGCCATTTGGCATTTGGAATAGATTCTGTAATTCCCAGAACTACTTCTCTGAGATTAGTTCCACGAACCGCACCAAAGTGTGCTTCCAAGATAAGTGACCAGCACTAACTGACTTCAAGCTCCTTTGAGTTGTCCTCCCAGTTTTTCCAAAGACTTCATTCTCTTCCTAACCCTCATCCGGTTTTGTCTCATTTCTGACTATCCCAATCACAAAGACTATCAACCACGATTTAGGTGATGGCCAGGGCATTCATCACTATACCATCACCACCACTGGATCCATGAAGATACACCCACTAGAGGATTTCAACATTTTCTATACAGGAATAAATGCACTCTGGTTTTGGATGGACCACACTATATGGGTTTAATTATGATATTCTTTAGCTTAAAATACCAGTCTGGCTTCTAATCTGCCTATACCAAGGAGGTCTTATTGAAATGTACTGTCCCCTCCAAGCCACACACATTGTAATACAGGCACATGCTAGCAACTTTGTAGTAACAAGCTCATTATAAAGCTATCTTACCATCTCCCAGTAAAGCAAGAACCAGAGAACAATGCAAAACAGGAAATGCCAATTAATTACAGAATGATCACATCTAATGAACTCTGAAACTCCCCTGCTGTTGGTGAGTGATAAAAATCAGAATTGCTAGAGGAACTGGGGCTAGTAAAACCCTAGGTCTCTCCTTTAACAGTGAATTCATAGAAGGATGCCTCCTACAAATAAATAAATAAATAAATAAAAATCAAACCAAACCAAACATAATATCCAAAGTTCTACAGTCACATGCATATCAACTTGAATTGATAACAAAAGCCTAAATACATGAAGAGACCACAGAATGAAAGCAACCAGATGACTACAGTGGCTTATACAGCTAGATTACTGCTGCTTGCTCCTTTGAAAAGGATAGACTGCCTAAATCCAATCACAAAGAATTGACCCCACTGAACTTATGAAGGTACTCCACAGCTACAGTACACCCCCTAAATAACCTCAGAGACCTACTAGTGGTCCAACCTATAGCCAAAACGAATCCCTTCTACAATCTTGATAAAAAGACCTCTAGTGAAGGGGAATTCAGTACCTTTATTGGCAGCACAATTATACTTTGGAATAACTCTAATTTGAGGAAATGCTCCTAATATCAAGCCTAATGCCATCTCTAGAACATGGGATATCTTGACATCTGACACCAAAAAGCCAGCCATTTCATTCCCTCACCTCCCACCACCATATCTTCAGAAGTAGCCTACAGAGTAACAAGCCTCAGAATAAGAGTAGGTCCATTACACTGTGGGGCTAAAGGAGAAAAAAGGAGAGAAATCACATGTGTCCTACTTGTACCACTACCTGTGTGAGTCCTCTGGTGGGCCTTTAAGTGGGAGCTTTTTGTATAAACCTTCCGGCACCCGTTAAACTGACAACGGTGAACCCTCTTCTTGTTTTCAGGGGATGCGTCAGCCCCTATCCCTCCTTGTTCACTGTCACTCTGTCCGCTCTTTATGGCCCCAGCTGATGCCACTGCGGCTGCGGCTGCCACCCCTCCCACCTTTACTGAGCTAAGCGAGGCCTTCTTGGCCACCAGTTTCAATGTCACCGTGCCATCTACAGCTGAGAGAGTCTGTGAGGTTTTAACCAAATGGCGGCTGAGCTCGGGGGAGGAAGGAGGCGTTAATGAGGTCACTGCATTGAGCTGGGCCTGGTTGACTGCTGTGTAGCTATCTAAGGAGGAACTTGGAGGCTGCAAGCTGAGGCAGGTCTCAGACAGCAACTTGTCCCGGGAGAGCAGAATGTCCACCGCAGAGCTTTTTTCACACGTGGATGCTTCCATGGGGAGCAGGAGGGGATCTAGGCGCCGGAAGCTTTCCTCAATGCTCGGGTGAGGAGTGGCATGAAGGAAACAGTCCAAGTCCTCACCAAAAGTCTCTGAGATCCTCCTGGGCTCTGTCTGCAAGTAGCGTTCCAATTCGAGGCATGTCTGAAAAAGGGAAGGAGGAAGGAAAGAAACAGCCATCAGAAGCAAAGAACACCATGAGCCTACATGCTGGCCGAAGGCAAAGGAAGAAATCACAAGAAGGTGTACCATAGCTGGGACCAGGGCAGTCTCTTTATTTGTTGACAAGGCCTAACATTCTCAGTCTCCTTGTGGACTCTCATGCTGATTTCCAGAGGCTCATAACAGGTCAGATACTATTATTCCAACTATCCGGATAGGGAAATAGAGGCTCAGAAGGGGTGCCTAACTCTCTCAAGATCACTCAGCAGAACAGTGTTGGAGATGGACCTACAAGAGATAATCTCCCTTCTCCTAATCTAGTTCAGAGCCATCAACCATCATTAAGAATCAGCACTTTAGAGCTAGAAGGAAGATCAGAGATCAGTTAATCTAACAACCTCATTTTACAGCTAACAACTTTACATTTCTGTGGTGCTCTTTAGAATGTTAGGTGTTAATAGAGACAAACCCATTTTACAGATGAAATAATTTGCTCAAGTTCAAACCGATTGTTAGGAAGAATTTCTATGTGAACAAAAAGTAGAGAAATCAAATTATAAACCCATTGTAGTAAGAGTAAGCCTTCCTATTACCCAACATTCTTCTTCCAAGTAGCTATTAAGCAGGTAACAAAAATAAAAATCAAGTTTCCCTGTTTTCCCCCAACCAATGTCATATTTCTACCAATATTCTCCAACGGAAACATTGTGTCTCTGATAAACAGGAACCAAATCATTCTTAAAGGGTATCTCTTGCAGATACTATGATAGAGACAGCACTGCTACTTTTGGAGGCATTGTTTCCAAATACAATCACAACACGCTTTGCAACAGCATTGTATGTGAGTGTGAATCGTTACAATTGTTTAGAGCAGGGGTGGGGAACCTGTGGCCTCGAGATCACATGTGGCCCTCTAGGTCCTCAAGTGCAGCTAACCCAAATGGATTCAGTCAAAGTGCCACACTTGAGGACCTAGAGACTCCCTATGTCTGGTTTAGAGTCTCTGACCATATTATAAAATAACTTCAGACAGTTAAGAGATCTGGTAAAGATTGGTCTCAACAAAACCCAAAGCTCCATCTCTCACAAGACTCAAAGTATAGAAAAGAAAAATTCAAAACGCTTCATAGTATCTGCAATTCTTGAATCATTTTTAAGCCAAAATCTTTAGAACAGCATGAAATTGACTTTTAAGGCCTGTTGGAATGGCCAAATCTGTCATACAACCTCTCCTTGGTTGTTGTTTGTTTATAAGGGGTGAGGGGAAATCAACAAGAGACTTTCTACATGCTTCTAAAACATTAAGAGGTATTAGAATAGTGAATAGAAGGCTAAGCCCTTCTAGTAAGGAAGACCTGGATTCAGATCCTGCTTCTGACATATATTAGCTACGTGACCGTGGGCTAGTGCTCTAAGCAACCATCTAAGACTGAAGGTGTTAGTTATCAAATATGAAAGGAGTTTCTACCCTAGGAACAAAATGAAATTGTTCCAAATACAAAAAGCTCTGGATTTAGAATCAAGTGGTCCTAGGTTGAAATATTAGTTTTATAACTTACTACCTATATGACTTTGGACAAATCACAACCTTTCTGGATCTCAATTTCCTCATCTGTAAAATGAGAAGGTTGAGCTACACAACTTCTAAGGTCCTTCCAGCTCTAACTGTGATTAGCAATTTACAGCTTTCATGTCAATCTGCTCACACTTGACCAAATGTAGAACTACCACAGTTAGATATTTATAACAAAAGGGGGGGGAGAGGGGGTGTAGACTACCACTATATTTCCATATTACTGCTATCAAACCTATATTTTTTTGAATCAGATGTTCTGTCTTCAGGCTTTTATTCTCAATCATTTATCTAATCTGTAATGTACCTGTCAACGAGTTAAATACGTCTCTATTTTCAGTGACATTTACAAAGACAAAGCAAAGGGGAGGGGAAAAAAATCAACTTTCTGATAGAACTCTGCATTATTAGATGGGGAGATCAGATTTGAGCTTTAAGTTGCCTTTGGACATCACTGTTACTTAAAAAAAATTATGCATAAATAAGTGATTCCAACATTCATTCAGCACCAGCAGTGTACACAGCATTCTTCTAATAGGACTATTAACACTGGTATGAATATCACCTGTAGGCACTTGATAGGAAGAAGAAGTTCAGGGAGAAGGAAAAAAAAACTTTACAAATGCAAAGGGGACAAGGATAAGTAGCTAGAATTAAGCAGAGAGATTTTCCTGGAGACAAAATAGATTTTGATCTGGGTCTAGGTTTGTCTGGGTTGGGGTAGGGGGTTGTTTTCTTTTTTAATCTGATCTTTGAACTATCTATCTATCTCAGTGAGTCACCATCAGTGAAAGTTAAACACCCTCTGAGTTGCTAGGAGCTGTCATCTTTAACTCTTCCTCCTCCTTCTATCTGGAATCCCACACCAGAAAATTCCACCTATGCCAAAATGGCCCTGACTCTTTTCCCCAATAGTCACATTCCTAATACAGGTGTCAATCACTCTACTGCTCCATTACAGAAACCTTCTCTTCCTTGGTCTGATCATTTCAATCTAAAACATCAGGGATGTAAATCCTCTTTCCCCTACCATCGTGATCATACCAAGATTACGTATGTCAAAAGGCCTCTGGGTTGCTTGCTATTGAGGACCATACACTGGCTGGATGAAGTCCAGCATTCCCTAATGATCTCAAAGGCACAAACTTTGCTGATATCATGCGCACCATTTCTGTAAGTGCAAGGGCTCCAATGGGAATTATACAACTCATCCCTCCCACCTTCCCTCCACCCCCAGCTTAAATCAAAAAGCAAATTTGCTCAGCTTTCCTATTCCAAGCAAGAGGTAACTTCTCTCTTAGAACAGGAGAATAAAATGAAATAAAACAAACAAAAAAACCCATCACCCTCTCCCACTATTCAAATGGGCAAACTAGAAAAATCAAAAAGCTTCAATTCAAGCCTATACCCATTTCACTGTAAATTAAAATTACTCTATGCTTAAATTTTCTTTACCAAATTCCCCAAACAACTCTACTGTTATCCTTAAAACTTCCTTTTACTTTCTATGTTTTCCTTTACTTCTACATTTCTCTTTCCTTTTTCTCATACCAATCTGCCTAAAAATCAGTTCTTTAGCTATCAGTTAATCCTCCTTGCATTCATAATACAAGTTGAAGCCATCTTCTTTCAGGAAGCCTTCCAAAGGTCATGGGTGACATAATACAATGCAATGATATTTCCAAATCAACATTAAACATTTGTGCTGTCCATTCAGTACCCCAGGATTGTGATCTCTTTGAGGGCTGTCAATAGATTTTGTATTGTTCTATATCATGGGTTAATTCAACAAATATTTATCAAGCACTTGCTGTATACCCAGCACTATGCTTGATATTGAGGGAGATATCACAGTAAAAAAGACATAGCCCCTGTCTGTGATGCACAAGGAAATATGGTAATTACTTAAGGGGTACAAGCAAGATACTGTAGAAGTTCTGATGAAGGAAAGATCATTTCTAAATGGGGGGGTGGGGATTCACAAAAGATTTCATGGAGGAGGTGGCTCATGAGCTGCATCTTGAAGGATAAGTAGCATTTGAAGATGTAGGGATGGGAAAGTGTTCTAAGCATAGGAAATGGCAAGTAAAAGGTAGTGGAAGAATGTAGACCAGCCTAGCTTAAACAACGACTACCTAAAGGAGAGGTGAAGGTCCAAAGGTAGGTTGGAGGGTCTTGAATGCCTGGCTAAAGAATTTCAAATTTAAGCACCAGCCCCGGATTCAGGAGGACCTGAGTTCAAATCCGGCCTCAGACACATAACACTTACTAGCCGTGTGACCCTGGGCAAGTCACTTAAACCCATTGCCTAGCCAAAAAAAAAAAAGAATTTCAAATTTAACTATTAGGGAAAAAAGAATTATTGATGGTTTGGGAATCAATGGAATGATGTCATTTGATCTATAATTAATCTAGAGGAAGCATGAAGGAAAAAGAAACTGAAGGGTGGGAATCATTTAGGAGTTGAAATGAGAGCCTGAAATAAGGTGAGGGTAGTGGAAATGGAAAGGAGGAAATTCACTTGATACTTACTTTGGAAGTAAACTTGATAGTTCTTGACAACTGATTGTATACTGGGGGTGAGGGACAAGAAATTAAAAGAAAAAGACAATGACAGGTTTCAAAGGAAATAGATTTTGGAATTAGTGAGTTAGAATTTATATGTTATATTATCATATGTATATATTTTAAAATCTTTTGCAATTCTAGTCAAACTAAGAACAGATAGATACCTTTGATGAAAATGAGATGATGTTCTAAAAGGTATTGGAAGTAGGATAAGGAAGAATTGGTTTAGCAATTCCTTGAGCTCCAAAAAGTGGGGGGGAAATTAAAGAGGGGAGGATTTAAGTAAGAGTAGTTTGAGTCTAATAAGGTTGTAAAAGGAAAGAAGATTCCTATGCCAAATGATACCCAAATTTGATATTGCCTAGAATCAAGTATTGACATCACAAAGCCAAGACACTTTTTATAATAGAAGGTAACTATATCACCCTGTGTTACCTCTAAGTAGGGGTGTGTAGGAACCAACTTAAACAGAGAGCCGATTATTAAAATTTTCAGTGTGAGCATTTATACCTCAGAAATTGGAGAATGCCACAAACTGAGGCTTGATTTAATGTTTTGTTGATTGTTTAGACTTAAGAAAGTGATAAACTGTTAATAATGAAGGTCAAATTTAAAAGTGTGTCCTGCATACATTTTTTTCTGGAAAACTGGTTGTTAAACATTTGTAACATACCCCTGCTTCTAGCCTTCCTGACTATCCACATTTGGTTAGTATGATACTTGAAACATAGAAATTTTTGTACTACTCAAGGCCCAATGTAATGTAAAAATAGCCTGCAACCCCACTGTGTCTACACTAAGGGGTATGATATATTTACTCTTGTGCTTCGCAAAAGCACAA